CCACTGTATCACTGCACCACTGTATCACTACACCACTGTATCACTGCACCACTGTATCACTGCACCACTGTTTCACAATCACTGCACAACTGTTTCACTACACCACTGTACACTAGTGTATTACTGCACCACTGTATCACTGTATACTGCACCACTGTATCACTTCACCACTGTACCACTGTATCACTACACTGGTTCATCACTACACCACTTTATCACTGTATCACTGCACCACTGTTTCACAATCACTGCACAACTGTTTCACTACACCACTGTACACTAGTGTATTACTGCACCACTGTATCACTGTATACTGCACCACTGTATCACTTCACCACTGTACCACTGTATCACTACACTGGTTCATCACTACACCACTTTATCACTGTATCACTGCACCACTGTTTCGCTACACTACTGTACACTGATGTATCATTGCACCACTGTATCACTACACCACTGTATTACTGTATCACTTTATCACTACATCACTGCACCACTATTTCACTACACCACTGTATCACTGCACCACTGTATCACTACACCGCTGTATCACTGCACCACTACACCACTGTATCACTGCAACACTACACCACTGTATCACTGCACCACTTTATCACTACACCACTGTATCACTGTATCACTACACTGGTTCATCACTACACCACTGTATCACTACACCACTTTGTCACTGTATCACTGCACCACTGTTTCGCTACACTACTGTACACTGATGTATCACCGCACCACTGTATCACTACACCACTGTATTACTACACCACTTTATCACTGTATCACTGCACCACTGTTTCACTACACCACTGTAAACTGGTGTATCACTGCACCACTGTTCACTGGTGTATCACTACACCACTGGATCACTGTATCACTGCACCTCTCTATCACTGTACCACTGTATCACTACACTGGTTAATCACTACTCCACTGAATCACTACACTGGTTTATCACTGCACCACTGTATCACTACACCACTGTATACTGGTGTATCACTGCCCCACTGTATCACTACACCACTGTATCACTGCACCACTGTATCACTGCTCTCCTGTTCACTGGTGTATCACTGTATCACTGTATCATTGCACCACTGTTCACTGGTGTATCACTGTATCACTACACCACTGCGTCACTGCACCACTGTATCACAACACTGCTGTATCACTGCACCACTGTTACACTGGTGTAGTGATACAGGGGTGCAGTGATACAGTGGTACACTGTTGTAGTGACACAGCGATTTTATCAGTGATACAGTGACAATGTCAAGGATACAGTGGTGCAGTGATGCAGTGGTCTCATGGTACAGTGATTCTGAGGTACAGTGGTACAGTCGTGCAGTAATACAGTGGTACAGTCATGCAGTTATAGTGTCAATGTTACACAGTGGTGTAGTGATACACCGGTATAGTGATACACCATTGTAGTGATATTGTGTTGCAGTGATACACCAGTGTAGTGATACAGTGGTACAGTGATACACCATTGTAGTGATATTGTGTTGCAGTGATACACCAGTGTAGTGATTCGGTGGTGAAGTGATAGTGCTGCAGTGATACAGTAGTGCAGTGATACAATGGTGCAGTGATACAGTGATGCAGTTATACAGTGGTGCAGTGATACACCAGTGTGGTGATTCAGTGGTGCAGTGATACAGTGGCACAGTGATAAAGTAGTGCAGTGATACACCAGTGTAGTGATTCAGTGGTGCAGTGTATCACTGCACCACTGCATCATTTACACTATCAATGCACCACTGTACCACTGTTTTACTGCACCGCTGTATCACTGACACCATCACTGTGTCACTGACTCTCTTGTTGTATCACTACAACAGTGTACCACTGTATCACTGACCCTATCGCTTTATCGCCACACCAGTGTATCACAGGAACAGTGTGTCACTGCACTACTGTATCACTACACAGGTGTATCACTACACCACTATATCATTGACACTATCACTGCACCACTGTACAACTGTACTACAAAAAAAAAAACAAAGAAAACAAATGAGACAGATCCATCAGACTCCACCTTTTATTATGAAACTTTAAAAGTCAATTTTTTGTTCAGATTCACCAAACTAAATCAGAACAATAAGAAACTTTGAGATTCAGAACTGTTTATATCAAAATACATCCAAAATAAATTAATCAGACAATAAAACTCTTTAAAAACAAGCGGTCCAGCAGACATTCACAGCCTAATGTGGAAACATGTATTTAATAAAATCAGAAATAAGTTATTAATAAAAGCAGTGAAGAGTTGTTCCACAGCTGCGGGGGGGTCAGCAGAGAATGAAGGCTGGACCGAGCTGTTAGACCATCTCACTGCCCAAAATATTCAACCAGGAGAGACAAGGTTAGGACAGGTTAAAACAGGTTATGACAGGTTTGGACGGGTTAGGACGGGTTAGGACAGGTTAGGACGGTTAGAACAGGTTAGGACAGGTTAGGACGGGTTAGGACAGGTTAGGACAGGTTAGGACAGGTTAGGACAGGTTAGGACAGATTAGGACAGTTTAGAACAGGTTAGGACAGGTTTGGACGGGTTAGGACGGGTTAGGACAGGTTAGGACGGTTAGAACAGGTTAGGACAGGTTAGGACGGGTTAGGACAGGTTAGAACAGGTTAGGACAGGTTAGAACAGGTTTGGACAGGTTAGAACAGGTTAGGACAGGTTAGAACAGGTTAGGACAGGTTTGGACAGATTGGGACAGGTTAGAACCGGTTAGGACGGGTTAGAACCGGTTAGGACAGCTTAGCACAAGTTAGGATAGGTTAGCACAGGTTAGAATGGGTTAGGACAGGTTAGGACAGATTAGGACAGTTTAGAACAGGTTAGGACAGGTTAGAACAGGTTAGGACAGTTTAGAACAGGTTAGGACAGATTAGGACAGGTTAGAATGGGTTAGGACAGGTTAGGATGGGTTAGGACAGGTTAGGATGGGTTAGGACAGGTTAGGATGGGTTAGGACAGGTTAGGACAGATTAGGACAGGTTAGGACAGGTTAGGACAGATTAGGACAGTTTAGAACAGGTTAGGACAGGTTTGGAGTTAAACAGAGTTTTCATGTTGAAGCAGCAGAGGTTTGCAAAGAGAGCATGAGACTCATTTTAGGTAGTTTTTCTGTCATAGCCCACCAGAGGAGGTCCCACCCACCTCAGATGAGGCCCCACCCACATCAGAAGACGCCACCTCCCCTGCACTCGTTCTTGCGGGACAGTTCTGGTTTGTTGCACCTGTTGCTCCTGTCTTTGGTTTTGAACCTGGTCCTGATGGACAGCTGCTCCTCCAGCTGCAACTGCTGCAGGGTCTGCATGTCGATGTGGGCTTCAGTCTGCTCCTCGGGGTCGGGGGGCTGCAGGAACAGCTGCTGCAGGCTGGCTGTCAGTTCGTTCAGAGGTGGTCGTACCTGTCTTCGTGTGGACGCTTTGAGCCGGTCCTCTGAGTCCACCTGCTGAGCCTGAAACTGTTGAACCATAGACAACATGATGCGGTACAGGTCCCGGCTGGTCCTGTCTGTCTTCAGGAGACTCTTCAGTTTTCCTCCAGTCCTGATCCTGTGGACCAGCTGGTGGACCAGTGTCCCTTCATACAGCCTGGACAAAAAGACAAACAGGAAGTGAGTCACTGCCTCCATGACAGCTACAGATGGAGTCTGTGGAGGACCTCCAGACCTCCAGTTTAATGTTTGACCCGTTTGTTGACTCCTGTTTCTGCCACTCTGACACCCAACAAACATGTCAACAACACGTTGTTTACAAACATGTTTGTACATAAAAGTAAACAAACATCTGATGCTGGATTTTCTATCTGAGCTAAATCTGACCAAAACACAGACATGATGTGTTTGACTGACACCATCGGTCCTGTCAGGGTTCTCTGGAGAGAACTGGTTGGTTGGTTGGTTGGTTGGTTGGTTAGTTAGTTAGTTAGTTAGTTAGTTAGTTAGTTAGTTAGTTAGTTAGTCAGCCCTAACATCTCACCGTGAGATTTGTGGTTCCTGCAGAGGGAACCCCAGCAGCTGGTTCAGCCATATGGAGCTCTTCAGACACATCTGCCACTGATTCAAGGAATAAAGCGTAGAAATGTCCAACTTTAGGGTGCAGTTGGACCCGTCTCTCTGCAGACCTGAAACCCAAACATTACAGAACCCGGGTCAGTCAGAGCCACTGAGGATTATGTGACATTTCTTATTGGCATGGGATAAATTTCCATTGTTACGCTGATGATACTTAGTTATATTTATCCATGAAACCTGATGAATCCAACCAGTTACTTAAACTACAAGCATGTCTTCCAGACATAAAAACATGGATGACTCTTAACTTTCTGTTTCTAAACTCAGATAAGACAGAGGTTCTGGTTCTTGGACCTGAACATCTTAGGGATCAACTTTGTAGCCTTTCAGCTCCTCTGGATGCATTAATCTGACCTCCAGTTCTAATGTAAAGAACCTTGGTGTTATTTTTGATCAGGACATGTCTTTTAACCCCCACATTAAAAATGTTACCAGGACCGCCTTCTTCCACCTGTGTAATATCACTAAAATTAGAAACATTTTGTCCAAAAATGATGCAGAAAAACTGATTCATGCATTTATCAGGTCTAGACTGGATTACTGTAATTCTTTATAATCTGGACATCCAAAAACCTCTTTAAGAAGTCTTCAGTTAATCCAAAATGCTGCTGCTAGAGTTTTAATGAGAGTTGGAAGGAGAGATCATATTTCTCCAGTTTTAGCTTCTCTCCACTGGCTCCCTGTCAAATTCAGAACAGAATTTAAAATATTCCTCCTAACATACAAAGCTGTTAACAACCAAGCTCCATCATATATTAAACATCTTATTGTTCCATCCTTTCCTAACAGAGCACTTCACTGTCAGACTGCAGGTTTACTTGTGGTTCCTGGAGTTTCTAAAAGTAGAATGGGAGGCAGAGCTTTCAGTTATCAAGCTCCTCTCTTGTGGAACCAACTTCCAGTTTCTGTCCGTGAGGCTGACACTCTGTCTACTTTTAAGATTAGACTGAAGACTTTCCTTTTTCAGAAATCCTATAGTTAGACTTAGGTTTCCTGAATTATTCTTCATTTCTGCTGCTATAGACTTAGACTGCTGGAGCACAAACTGAGCACATTTCCTCACTCTGCTGTTGTCTTTAGTCTCTCTTCTCTACATGTTTATTCTTATTATTTCTATCATGTTTTTTCTTTGTTTCTTCCAGAAGAAGGTGCACCTGGACCAGTCCTGGACCAGTCCTGGACCAGTTCTTCTGTGTTTGTCTGTGTCTCTTTCCTGTCCTCCAAGCAGCCGGTCGAGGCAGATGGTCTCCTGTCCTGAGCCTGGTTCTGCTGGAGGTTTCTTCCTGATTAGCAGGGAGTTTTTCCTCTCCACCGTTTGCTCAGGATGGGAGACTGTGATGAAGTGATTCAACACAATCTGCTGCTAAATTCTTTACATTGTTCTTTTTATCTACAGTGTCCTGAGACAACGTGTGTTGGGACTTGGAGCTGTATAAATAAACTGAACTGAATTATTAACTGGGTTATTTTAACAGAACAATCGGTCCAAACTCCCACCTGAATGAACTTTCTAAACTACTGGACTGCTTTGGGAACATCCCCGCCCACCACTTCTCTGTTCAGAACATGTTTGTGTTCTGACCCAAACACAGAAACTAAAAACTGATGAACCTGTTAAACATTAAGGTCTGGAAGGAGGAATCAGCTGAAACACTAAAAGCTTGTCTTGGAGGGGACAAACCAAAGGTGAGGGTCTGGAGCAGGTGCACAGGAAGAAGACCAACCTGTTCTGGGTCCAGTCATGGTTCCGGTACTGATGCTCAGGAGCAGAGCCTTCAGCAGTCTCTGGTCCGGTTTAGGTTTTGCTCTCTGCATCCAGTAGCAGGTGACGGCTACTGGCAGTTTCAGCTGGGGGGGCAGGAGGCTCAGGGAGTCCCCGGTCACCCCCAGAACCTCCAGTAGGACCTGCAGACGATCAGAGTGGTCCTCCTGGAACAGATGATGTTCATAAAGTCCTCTGAGGAACATCTGAGTGTGACTTTCTGAAGAGCAGAACTTTAGCTTGAATAACAGCCTCACCTGGTTCAGAGTGCTGAGATCCATCTGTTTGATGATTCCGCTGAACATCGGGTCGACAGGAATGGAGTAAACCTCTGACCCGACTCTGTCCACCTCCATCACCTGGAGAGGCTCCTGGTTCCCCAGCAGCAGCCCGTACATCACCTGTCGGATCGAACTGGAGGTCCGGTTGGAGCTGGGCAGGTCCTGCAGTTCCACCGCCAGGCTGAGACCCTTCATGGTGCGGAGCCGCAGAACGTCCAGAACCTCAGAGGTGAGCCGGGCCTGGGTCAGAGGCAGCAGCATCCAGTGTGGAACCAGATCCACCTGCAGGAGAAGAACACATCCAGAACCAGGGTTGTCTTATAAAGGTTTTTATTAATATTTAATTAACTGTTATTAATGCTTTATTAACTGTTATTAATGCTTTAGAATCTGTTTTTTAACACTTGATGAATAGTTATTACTGCTTTATAAACTATTTTATTCATACTTAAGTCTTATTAATGCTTTATAAACTTTTATTAATACTTAATTTATTATGTCATTAATGCTATAT